GTGGTGATATACTTATGAATGCTACTGTAGCAAAACAAGTGATAGAAAATGATAGCAACACAATTAATTCCTAAACCATATCCAATTATGTACCGTTGTAAAAACTAGGAAAATGTAATGTAATTTTCTTCATATACTGTAATAAGAAAAACCAAAGATCATGGAATGTGGATACTACCTAGCCATAGGCTGCAGCGCTACCTTTTTCTTTTATGGCATTGAATTTAATTTTTTTTACATACTGTAACTCATGGACTTGACAACATTTAATGATGGCAATGATATTATAACTTTGTATTTCACTAGATACAGTAGCGCAGAAGAAGAAAAATCATAGGAGGAAATGTGATTTTTCACTAAATCGTTACTGTAGCATATTTATATATTTTTGAATTAGAATATTAATTAAAATTATTTATATATCAATTAATTAGTTAATTAGTGAATTGTTTATATAGTAACTACAAATATATTAATTTCACTTGAAGTTGTTAATTCCACAAAATTAATAACTATATTAATTAATATGGATTGCTAATATATATAATATCAATTTATACAATAATAACCAATTATCTTAATTTAATTGCTGATATCTTTTTATTATTGTTTGAATATTGATTATTTAATTGAATATTGAATAATTATTAAATATTAAATTGAGTAGTGATTATTTATCAAATATTAAATTTTTAATTATTAATGATGAATTAATTATACTATATTTAATTAGTGATGTGTGTTTTGTGAATTGAGGTTGAATTGTGTTGATATTGATGTATGTGTAAATGCGTGGTAATTCAAGTGTGATAAATTATTTAAGATATGCATGGATATTAAGATTAGGGAATGATCTTAATTGCATATGATTGTTGAATTTGCATACATATCATTTGTATCAAGAGACAATACTTGTTAGTTCCGTGGGAGCTAGTGACTTGTCCCAAACCTAGAGTGGGGTTTGAAAGCTTAGAGAATGGACTTTTGTGTGTTATTGGTCTAGGGAACGGACCCAGTTTAAATGTAAAAACAAAAAAATAATAACAAGTGTTGGTACCACATGACATGAGTTGCATTGAGTTTTGCATTGAATCTTATTGTGTATATGTTTGTGCTTTGAGATTAGATGTATATGTGAATGTTGAATTGGTGAAATTGTGGATAGTGTGTATATACTTCTGAATGATATGATTACTTGAGTGATACTTTATTGATGAAACTTTGAAGTGTGAGAATAATTGTAATTATGCTTGTATGCCTTAAATTAATTATTATCTTATAATTTCAATAATTATGTGAATTCTCACCCTTCTACCGAGGAGTAGAGTTGCTTCTAGCGTGAGATAGTCGTTGGAGTAGCTAGATTTGTGTCTTTATTTATTTTGGGTTGAGTCATGCTCTAATTATGTAACACTAGAGAATGTTTCGATTTCATGTTTTGAGAGATACTTTATGTACTCTACTTCATTCTGTTATTGTTATTCTGAATTATATGAAGTATTGGCTTTTAAGTCTAAGTATTGATTATGAATGAGCTGAGAATGAGATTTTCATTATATTTATTATGATTAAAGTAAATCCGCTCCTACATGCTAATGTGAAAGTGTATGAAAATCATAAAGTTATTTAAGTGTTATTGAGCACGACAGGTGTTTGTGTGATATTTTGAAATTTTATGTGACACCCTTTTGTGAAATGCATGACAAATACTCTGATTTATTTATATTTATTCCGCGGAAATTAGAAAGGTGTTACATTTTTTCATCTAAAAAAGAAAAGGTAAAGAGGATAAAAATATGTTTTCAAAATAATGTGATCAAAGATATGGCTAGGAGATGAAAAGAAAGATTGATAAATATTGAAAATAATATTCACTTAATCTTAACATTTACATAGATTTTTGTAGTATATATAATCCATTAGGATCTGGGTCACACTCAGTATTAGTAGCTCATGAAGTAATCAAGTTGATCCACTCCAAGTTTATTTATACGTTTTGTCCCATTGAGACGAAATGGATTACGCTGGACCGATTCATTTGACCGTTAACACTCATATATTTGATTTCTCTACATAACTACCAATCAAATTAACTTAACGGGAGACAATGTCTAATTTGTTTTAGTAATATTAATATGCTACTTTTTTATGTTATGCTTGTACTTGAATAAAACGGAGTTAATGAAACAAAGTTCATTAATTATGCAGTTTATAAAAAAAAATGTAAGTTGTTTTACTATAAAAAAATTATGTTACACTCAAATTATCCAAGATTGTGTATTATGTAAAAAACAAAATTGACATATAAACATAATCTATTTCTATTTTGTCTAAGAACTGATAATAAACAACAATGATATAAAAACATATGTATGTATAGTTTTTCCTTTTGTTTAAAAATTAAATACCTGTTTTGCATCAGTTTAGAATTGCGTACATAAATAACATAGACATAACAACATAACCTACTTCATTTTAAATTCAACTGGTGCATGCTTTGTATAAGTTACTTGATTGAATTAAAAAAAATCCAAATAGACTCAAAATAATTTTTTTAAAAAGGGTAACATCCATCAATAGTCTTCATAATGATACAAATTGATTTATAATAATACAAATTAATACAACATTCATTAACACGACATTAAAATATTCATTATATAAATAATATTTTAAAAAAATAGGTGAAAAAATGAACAAGTGATTTGAGTAAGATAATGTACAAGTGATTTGAGTAAGATGATACAATTATGATTTGAATCAAAGGAAAGAATGATTAAATCAATGTAAAAAAATATGTAAAAATGGATTATTTGATTCAATTCAAGATTTGAATCATGTGATTCGAATTAAGCAATTTCATGATTCGAGTCACATAATTAAAGATGACCTTGATTCGAGTCATATCTGATTGTGGTTCGAATTAAAGTGTCTTATGATTCGAATCATGAACTTTTCTTGATTCGAGCCACAAATACATAACTAAAATCTAAGTTTCACATTGAATTATTGATACAATCCAAATTATTATATGATAAAAATGTATACGAGGAAAATGATGTTCGCATTATTTTTAAAGATATTTTGAAGGAAGTCATGACTGCCTTGCATAAGAATAGGTTGAAGAGAATGTGTGGTAGTTTATGTGAGACATATTATGATATATTCTTTTATAGGAATGTTTGGTTATTGTCTAAATTGTACTTTGTATATGATATTATGTATCACATTTTCTGTTTGACAAGTTATGTTACTTATTAATATTAGATATTTTTAGTTAATTAGCTTTAATATTGGTGTAATTTTAAGGCATTATTAACAAAAAAAAAATTACTAATTTAAATTGAGTAATGTTAACACATGATGAGGGGGTGCGTAAGAGATTCAAATTGTAGAATATGTGTGGAAGTGCTCAACATGTTTAAAACGTAGAATAAGAAAATTTAGATTTTTGTTATGTTGTCTAGTAACAATTTGTGTATATTAAAATGCACGATGATTGTTTGGATCATTTGTAGTTCATAGTAGAAAGCAATGAAATTCTCTTACTCATATCTTGTTAAAATAAACTCTAATGTAATTGGAATGCATTCATGATTAATGTCGGTATTATATTGTCTGATTTAAAGGATCAACTAGACCAAATGAATAATTGTCTAAATCACGACGACACAAGAAGGGTGATTAGTGTTAACTATCATTGTTCATTAATTAAAGATGATGGACCTGTTTAGTTCACCAACATGCAACTTTAAAAATGATAATGATGTGAGAATCGTGTTCACAATATTTGACAATATTTGACCAGTATAATATAAAGGGAATGGTTGAGTTAGATGACACCTTGATCAGATTCATTTATGTTTTATGTTCAACTTGATTTGTCCTATGATATTTGATGAAATCACATCGTGCATGGTTAAATCTTCACCCAAACTTTGTCAAACCTGAATCTGCCATGTTAAAAAATCCAAAGCCTAATTATAGCTTGTAACCTATCATAGGTTTATTCTAGGTCTGAGTCTTACCTTTTTGAATGTTTGGTTAACCTACTAACTTACTTAAAAACCTACTTCATTTTAACATTTGTAAATAAGCAATTCAATTAATGTTAAATAGACTAACAAATTAAAATATCAATAAAACTTAATATTTATTTTCATTGACTCGTTTGAATTTATCTATTAGCATAAATTTTGTGATACTATTTGTTTAAGATAACATATAAAAACAACTTAAAATATTGTTCATAAGATTTTTTCAACTTAGTTTCATAATTTCTTGAAGATCTCAAATAACTTATGAATTTGAGATTTTTTTAATCCAATTTTGTTGATAGAACTAAGTATCCTCTAATATTAGATGACTTGTAAGGTATATCAATTAAATCTTTAAAATTAATAAATAAGTGCATATTAATTAGATCCACTTTGCCAAAATAATCTATTTCACTTTTTTTTATGAATTTTATTAAATTTGTGTTTTTTCTAATAAAAGAGTGCTTAGGTCTAAAAAGAAAGAAAACTACAATAAAGCCAATCAAATATTACTACAAAACTTAAGAGTAATTAATTTATATTAAAAAAAATCCAAAACATAACTAATATAAAAGAAAAAAGGATTCTTAATTTACCAATCAAATTGATAACTTAATTTTAAAAAAGTTTTTAAAATGGAGTGATAAGACATGAGGGTATTTTGGGAATATTAATTAATAAAACCATGTCGGGGATCATCTTATCGAAGCTATTAAAAGAATGGAGTTCTGAAGATCGTGTGATTGCCGCTCGGTGTTTCAAGGTTTCGATTTTCTCATACTCTTTCAAATTCAAATTATCTATTATTTTTCTTAATCGATAGATTCAATAGTTTTTCCCAAACAATGTTCCCATGATTTCTCTAAACCCTAATTATCAGATCGATGTTTTCCGAACATTTTTAGGGTTTTTGTTGTATGTGCATTTGAAATCAATTTTGATTAGTATAACCGTTTCGCAGAGATGTCGGCTTATGAAAATGTTGTTGGTGGTAAATTGAAGCTGAAGGGAAAAGCATTGGATGTTGCTGGTGGAATCAAAAAGAAGAAAAAGAAGAATAAAAGAAATCAACAGCAGTTTTTGCAACCAACTGAAGATGAAATTTCAGCAGGTTACATGTTCATAACTATATAACCTAAAAAAGCTTGGTTGTTGTTGGTTTATGAAATTGATTCCAATGTCTCAAGTTTAATGAATTTGTTATGTAAGATTTTTTGCTTTTGGCCATAAAAACTATGATGAGAATATGAATTGATTTTGAAAGAATAGGCGATTGTTGTCTATGTGATTTGATTAAAGTGAGGTCAATAATATGATGAAACTCTGAATTTTGATTAGTACACTTTTCACGTTCAACATAGTTTTTTGTACCATAATATCTGCAATACATATACTAAAAGATTATGCTATTTGTATTTGATGTAGGTGGAACATCAGAACAAGCTAAAGATTCTAATGAAGAAGTAAATGATGGGGGTGAATTGAATGGGGAAGAGAAGCCTGCTCATTATGATGATCATCTTACACCAGCAGAGAGGCGATACATAGAACAGAGGGAGCAACTTGATGTTCATAGATTGGCCAAGATTTCTAACAAATCTCACCGCGATAGGATTCAGGATTTCAATCAATATCTCGCAAACATGAGCGAGCACTATGATATTCCTAAAGTTGGTCCTGGATGATTCAAGGAGTTGTTCAAGTATGAAGAAGGCAAATCCCTGTCATTTGTTTTTGTCTGTTTAATATTGACACCATGTGCTTGCACAATAGTTCACTAGATATCTGTATTTTGTTTTGGACTAAGCTATATTTGTGATGATAGAGTTTGTGCAAGTATGAAAAAGTGATGTTATTATTGCCTTCAATGAAATTTCCAAATTTTATAAATGTATTATGAAAGGAAAATGCTTTATATAACTTGTTAATTGTCATGGGGAAGTTGATTGATCATCACAAAGAATTTTACTGAACTTATTGCTTCTTGTTTTGAACAGGGCAAGCATTTGAAAAGAAATTGAATAATATATTTTTCATAAAAAAACAATATTAGAGTTGAAATTTATGTTTTTCATATTATGTATGTATGTAATTTGAGATCCTTTTCAATGTTGATTGTTCTAAGTAGTGATCTGAACCTTGGCTTTTTAACTTTCATGCAATTTTGAATTTGATGTTACTCGTTTAATGACTCATGCTATTATTTGATACTAATAACATGGAGTCTGGCTTTGAATGATTCAATGTTTTGTCTTCAAAGATTCATCCCTAAGAAATGAAACCATAGAGCAGTAGCAAATCACAACAGAACAGAATTACGGGCAAATTGCCAATTATCACAACATGTATATTGCAACAATACTATAAAAACAATGTACAAAAATTAATGACGGAAAAACAGCAATTGTGCAGCAAACAGAAACACAAAAACCATTTTGCATAATCACCAATTTGACAGAATCATGCAGCAAACAGAAACACAACCATTTTGCATAATCACCAATTTGAAAGTAACTCTTACAATCAACACGCATGGCCTACTTCTAACAGTGGTTGTGGAGCTTTTTCATCAAATGTGTGGACCAGGCCACCTCCACCTTCTAGGCAGATTCCTAAAGATACATCCCCCAATCCTAGTGCTTTTGCTAATTCCATGCCTTTTACCCATGCATCTACATCCCGGTTCCTAGACTCAGGACTCAGGAGCTTCATTTCATGTCAATAATGTTGCTAAGAACCTCCAACAATTGACTCCATTTGAAGGCCGTGATCAAATTTATATTGCCAGTGAGCAAGGTTGGCACATTCACTTTAATAGTATTTTCTGCTCACCTGTTCACCCTCACACCTCTCACTCTCCACGGTCTTTTACTTATACCTTCCATAACCGAGAATTTTATTAGTGTTAGCCAGTTTTCTCGTGACAACACTTGTCAAATTTCAGGTCTCTAATGTCACTTTTCTTGAAGAACATGTTGGAAGTGATGGAACCTATGAGTTTCCATCCATCACCATGTCTAGCACCGATGACAAGTCTCAGCTTTTGTCTACTTCTGGTTGTCAAAATAAGTCAGTTTCTAGCATTAATTATGCTCATATGAACTCTAGTACTTGTAATATGTGGCATTTAAGGTTAGATCATCCTAATACGCATGCCTTAAAACTTGTTTTATATGAATGTAATATTCCCTTCAATAATAAAAGTTGCAATTTCTTCTATTCAGCCAGTTGTATGGAAAAAAATCCACAAATTACACTCTCCTGCGTCACACACCACCTATTCTCATCCTTTGGAACTTATATATAGTGACTTGTGGGGACCTTCCCCCAATGTCTCTCTCTATTTGAGTTTCAAATACTACATGTATTTTGCAGATGTCTCCTCTAAGTTTGCATGGATCTACTTTCTTAAGACTGAGTCTGAAGCTATTTTTATATTCAAACCATTCAAAGACATGGGAGAACTTCAACATGGTCTTCCATCAAAGCCTTTCAATCTGATTTGGAAGGTGAGTTTAAACCTTTCAACAAATTTTTAATTGACCCAAGCATTGTTCATGGGATTATATGCCCTCACATTCATAACCAAAATGGTGTTGTTGAAAGGAAACATAATTATGGGCCTCACACTTTTAAGCCAAGCAAGCCTCTATACCTCTCACCTATTGGGACTATGTCTTCTCAATAGGTGTTTCTTCTATCAATAGACTATCTTCTGTCTCTATTGATTTTCAAGTACCTTCTCAATAGGATTACAACTTTTTAAAGTGTTTGGATGTGCTTGCCTTCCTTTACTAAGACCCTACAACACTCATAAATTGGATTTTAGATCTCAAGAATGTTTATTTCTTGGTTACTCCATGTCACACAAAGGGTACAAATACCTATCTCCTAGTGGCAGATTATACATCTCCAAAGATGTACTATTCAATGAATTGAGATTTTCCTACCAAGAGCTATTCTCCCAAATTGACCTTGTCTTTTCTCCTCCTTCAACTATCTCTTTCCCACCTCTCCATATCAATTCCTCTATCTCGTTTCCTCCAACCATACCTGGCAGAAAAATTAATTCTCCCACACATGAGTCATCTCAGTCCCCAAATGCATCCTATGATAATGTCTCACCTGTCTCTGACTCCCTAGCTCAACCCTCTCAAGTGTCAACCTTCTTAAGTGAACCCTCTCATGGGTCAGTCTTCTCATATGAAATTGTGTCTCATCAACCAATTCAACCCAAGGAGATCAGTCCTACTCAATAAACCAAATTTATTCAGTCCAGTTACATTAACTCTGTTGAGCCAGGTACTTTGCCTGGCCCTATGCCTATTCCATCCAATGTTCTCTATTATATATAAACCTTGTCAATACCTATTCCATGCAAACTAGAGCCAAAACTGGCTTCTCTCAACCAAGACTTGAACCTAGACTTCTTTTTGCCAGTTCTGACCCTAAAACTCATGTGCATGCGTGTGTAATGTGTGTCTATCTAGGCGCGCGCGTGCATGTGTTTTGGGGGGAGGGAGGGTACTCAAAATCTGCAATAGCAGGTCAACTGGGAGCTTATATAAAAGCGACACATTCGCATTTATTTTTTAACTAACAATTCTTAAATCAAAAGTTATTTGAAACCAGAAATGGAAAGCTAATTCTCTCAATTCTTACAAGGACAAATCTCAAGACTCGAAGAACGCTTAGATATTCTTCACCAAAAGAAATCTCCACATCAACACTTGGAGTTGAATATGTTCCCGGTGAACCAACTTCTTACAAACTAAACCAAACTTTATTGGCAGTAACTCGGTAGTAGTTACTATGCCTCAAGGATATCAATTATTAATATGAATGCTTCCAAGAAATATGATTGAACCCATCTGCTTTATTTACATTTCTGGATCCCATTATGGTCTATACGCTGTTGATGGTACAATAAAAGACTGTGCACACTGATATCTTTGCCAGAAACATGGATATCTTTCCCGGAATTCTGCAAGCAAGCTGATATTAACCAACAGAATACCTCGGGTGCAATGCTTTGATAAATAAATAAATACAAGTAGATATTTGAAATAAACTTACAATAAGACACATTAAATCAAATGGTTGCTTTTTGGTTAACCAACAGAATAATTATTTTAATACACTGTTTAGTTACAATATCAACCTCTGTTCATACATCACAACTTCAACTTTTAACTAAACTCTTTGTGCAATCCTCATCATTCGGACGTAGCTGCTTTTGATGACACACTGTCTCTACCCTTCTTAAGGTCCAAAATCACTCCACCTAATTGCATAAAGTGTAATAACACTCTACTGGCCTAACAGAAACAATGCATTGAAACGTTCTCACAGTGGACTTTGAAAGAAGCAGGAACCACAGGAGTTATCCAAAACAGGAATAAGCAGTAAGGGCAGAGCCACTTATGAACAGAGTGGAAGAATACATGCAGGACAACAGAGGATATCGGAAAGAGGACCGGGCAGAGCAAGTCAGCTGCAGGGTGGTAGAGTGTATACACAGACAGTAGAGTTTGCCACAGTTTGATCCAATTCAATCACTTATTTGATAACCTCAACAGTTAATTATGACCTAGTAGTTTTTAGTAATAGTTCTTACTTCTTGGAGTAAAAGGATTCTTTCACTCAATTACACAATAAATAATGTGAAAATGTTACTTCTAAATATAACAGCTATCTATCGCTCATACAAGAATACAAGAATTTAAAGGAGTAGGAAATAGAATAAGCCCATTTAAATATCAACTCTTCTACATTTTATTTCTGAGAAAGTTTGACATGGAAGATGTTCCAAATTCAAATATTCAATTCTGCAATCTATCCATGTCCCCACAATTTCCATCAAGGAATCCAGAATCCACACGCCCGCAGGCACTTGTGTTGTAAACAAATTTATTTGCATAAATACATAGTGAAAGATGTTTCTTCTATTATTCTCTAGGGAGACAAAAAACGAGGTGTGACTGAATGACACAACTATAGCTACACATACAACTACATCAAAAAGCCAAGCCAGCGCCAAGAAAGGAAATAAATGTGATATGAATGAATCGAACAACCAAATAAATAACACTCGGGACATAGCTACTACGGGATACTAGATTGCCTCTTACTACATAAATAACACAATACTTGAGCGAAGTTGCAATCTTAAATTATCTCTTCAATTATCGGGCTTCATCCTCAAGGTTGCGGAAACCGTTAGTCAGGTCCTCGTGTAGCTGAGTAAATTTGGCAACCAATGCTGATTCCCCTTCAGCAGGGTCCTCAAATTTCTGAGACCTGCAATAACAAACCAACATAATAAGACCTACTTCACATGTCAAAATAAGTCATCCAAGGTAGCCCAACAATTACTCACACTAAACGATAGAAGAGATCTCCCAAACGATGCTTGATGAGAGTATAAGTTATCTTCTGACCATCAGTACCAGCTCCCCTCTCTACTGCCTGCACATGTATCAAGTCTCATGTTAAAGATCTGTAATTTGAATGCAATTCAGCCATCATACTGAAATCTCTTTTCAGGCAGAAGTAATAACACTCTGACTGGGCTATGATAAAGAATACAAATAGAAGGGATACATACAACCACTGCTTACAACCTACATGCCCACATTTGGATAGATTTTTCCTTATTCTAATGTAAGTAACATTGTTCAATAAAAAAATGAAAGTAACATTGTTTGATTCCTTAGACCACCATACCTGATTTGCCAAATTGTAGAAATGAATAATGTTGCGCATCATCCAGACAGACTTGTAGAAGGGACAGAACTTGTCATATCTATTACACACAAAATGTAACAATATAAGAGAGACAACAAATAAAAACACTAACATGAGAAATGTATCAAAGAAGTTAACAATTTACAAGGGCACTTACGGCGTAAAAGCATTTTGAGCAAGGTAATCCTCTCGCAAAAGTTTTGCAGTTTCTAAGGTGATCTTATCTCCTTCAGCTAAAGCATCCTTTCCTACAAGCTGGAACAAAGAAGGTGGGTGAATGGTCAATCTAGTATAATTTACTACTATACTACTTACAGAGTAAGTATATGGACATCCTGACTAACTTTTTTCAAACAGCAAAACAATACCTTAATTAGGATAATATGTTAAAGCTCAACTTATTAGATTACCCATTACATGGACAACTTATGCAAACAAGGTTTAGACCCAACATTACTTAAAAGTCTGTCCTATGTTATTTATGATACCACCTTGAATAACTTTCAACCCATACTAGGAAAGGGCATGGGAAGATTTCTTTAACCAACAAGATGATTAACTGCAAAGGAACACACCTGGACAATTTCATTAAGATCGTCTTCTCTTTGCAGAACTTCGCGAGCCCTTGTCCTAATGTTTATAAAATCTGGATCAAATTGCTCATAAAAGGATTCGAGTGCCTGAAGATACCATAGAAAATATTAGGAAATCATGATATTTGGGATCCCAAGCACAACCTATATCCATTACAAATGAAGGCAGCTTAAGAGAAAACATGAGTTGTGCAGATAACAACTCTAGGACATACCGTTGAGTACTTTGAGTAAGATATAAGCCAGTTCACAGAAGGAAAGTGCTTCCTCTGTGCAAGCTTTTTGTCCAAACCCCAGAAAACCTGTAAAGTAGCAAAAGATCAACTTACATGACGAATTCTAAAAGAATCAGTAAGAGAAGGAACAACTAAAGGGATCATAGTGATGATTAACACACAGGGTTTTAGGTATTTATGAGAATTGGGGAGGCAACCAAATGCGAAATTTATTTGCAGGAAGTTGTCTTATATTTTGATAAACGTATGTTTGACAGTAGAATATTACCTGAACTATGCTGAGGGTTGCAGATGTCACGGGATCTGAGAAATCTCCTCCAGGTGGAGAAACAGCACCAACAATAGTTACACTACCTGTTCTTTCAGGACCTCCAAGACATTTTACTTTCCCAGCACGTTCATAGAAAGAAGCTAAACGTGCAGCAAGGTAAGCAGGATATCCACTATCAGCAGGCATTTCAGCCTATGGAAAACAACAATATCATCAATTTACCCATGTGTCTCATTAGTCATTATGTATAAATCTATACATTTAACATCAGTGGAGAAAGAAACTCCAACATCAGAAACTAAATCTCCAAAATGAAGAAGAAACAAATTATTTCTAAAAGAAACCGGTGAACAACCGCGGCTAGATAATTGAAATTCTCACCAATCGTCCTGAGATTTCACGCAATGCTTCTGCCCATCTAGATGTTGAATCTGCCATCATACTGACATTGTAACCCATATCTCTGAAATACTCAGCTAAAGTGATTCCTGAGATTTGAAAACAAAATAGTTAGAATATAATATATATAGTTTGAAAAAAGTATTAAAACTCACATACAGCACACATGACAAACATTATAAGGACTGTTAATATATAAAGTTTCAGCTCGGGTAAGAGCTAGTGGAATATAAAGTGGCATATCAATATGCATATATTAGGCCCTCATTAATTTTCACATTAAGCGCAGATTAAGCACAGTTAACTGTCCAGAAATAACAGGTGCTGAGAAACACTACTTATTGCAATTATATGCACAGTTTGACATTCCAAATATTGAATTTCATGAACAAAAAGAAGATTTAGATTTTATGAAGTAGGAAATTACCTGTATAAATTGAAGCCTCACGAGCAGCCACTGGCATGTTTGAAGTGTTAGCCACAAGTGTTGTACGCTTCATGACAGATTCTTCACGGCCATCAGGTAATGTCATTGTAAGTTGTGGAAAGTCCATCAGAACCTGAACAATCATTAAAATGATTTTACCAGACGAATACCAGCAAGCACAAATATTTCATAGAAATAACTTTTAATATTTCATAGAAATAACTTAAAAGGAAGCATACCTCAGCCATTTCATTTCCACGTTCTCCACAACCAACGTAAATAACAGCATCAGAATTTGAATACTGTCAAAGAGGCAAAAAAGGAAGAATTAAGAGGTCTACTCAATTATTGAAAAGTTTTATAATTACATCACCACTGTGCCATGACATGGTGTGTTAGGATCACCTTAGAAAGAGCTTGACTAATGACTGTTTTCCCACAACCGAAAGCTCCGGGTATGGCACAAGTCCCACCAAGTACGGAGGGGAAAAGAGCATCAAGAACACGCTACACAAAACAGAAGTCATTAGGCACAAAAATATCTGATTTGTATCATACACAAGAAACAGAATAAAAATTGAGCTTACCTGACCAGTAAGAAGAGGAGTATCAGCTGCAAGTTTTGATGCAACAGGCCTTGGTGTACGTACAGGCCAACTCTGAAATGGGTACAGTATTTTATGTTATAATGAAGGATAAGGAAGACCAATTATTCAATAAAGCAACAAAAAAAATAAAGAGATGGCCCACAAACCTGAAGCATGGTGAACTTCTTTTTGACACCTTGAAACTCAAGCTCCAACACAGTATCCTGCAAATAATGAAAAAATATTACCAAATATTGCAAAAGATATAGAGAAGCTCGAGAATGCAGAAAAAAATATGTATAAATACATTTAAGCTTGGCAAAGCTGACATAATAAATATATAAATATGAAGCATGGACAAAGAGAGGCTGCAAACATATTCTAAACATAAAAATGAAATAATGGACTTAAGAAAGATCTTATAATAGATATATATAGCTAAATAAACAGTAGAAAATAAATTTAAATGACAAACCTTCAAGGAATATTGGCCAGCTGGTGCTACATAGGTAACCTTTCCCATGGCATCAGGAGGAAGTGCAACACGGTGTTCCATTAAACTGTTCTCGAAGACAGTCTGCGTAAATAATCCACACAAAGAATCAGGAAAAAAATCTACAAATAAAAACTCATAAGCTAACCTAATTGGATAGAAAACATACAGCGTATAAGTCTCCGCCAGTTACTAAGTCTCCTTCACCTGTCCCCAGTAATAAAATAGAATATCAGAATATATGGACCATGTAATATTTGTTTTCTGCATAAAACTTCACCATAAAATGGAACAATATGTACCAATTTTCTTAGGCTGAAATTCCCAAAGTGTATCTTTGTCAAGTGCAGGAACAGAGACACCACGGGGAATATAGACATCAGCAGATATTCTTGCAATAGTTTTCAAAGGCCTCTGTCGCAGTTAGAAAATATTCAAATTAGCCGCCAATTGAAATCAGATATAGAATACGACCAAATGTCTAAAAAAAAAAGACAAACCTGAATTCCATCAAAAATATTTCCCAATATTCCAGGTCCCAACTCCACAGACAAAGGCTGTCAAAAGACATACCGCTTATCAATCAAATCACGCAACAGCAAACACAATCAAAATAAGAGAAAAATGAATATAGAATCCAACCTTGTGTGTACGTAACACCGGATCATTAACCGTCAACCCAGCAGTTTCCTCGTAAACTGAAATTGCATACAACAAACAGATTTGTTTCAATTAAAACTTAGAAAATCATGAATTATCAATTAATGCATCTGTATCATCATAGTGTAGAAGTTATGCAGAACCTTGGATAGTGGCAGAATCCCCTTCCAAACGAATAATTTCACCAATGAGATTATCATGACCGACACGCACCAATTCATACATAGCAGCCCCATTCATGCCATCTGCAACCACGACAGGTCCAGATACCTGTTTTCATTCAGCAAAATTCAAACACATCAATACGACGATTTATCATATCCAAATTCTCAATCAAATCAGCTTCAACAAATCACAACAACAGCATACAAATAAACCAATAGTGTAACCATAAAACAGCAAAAACAAAATTTATCAAAAAATTAGCAGATAGATCGCACAGTGGCATCAGAACTTGAACAATTGTAAGTCGTAAACCAAAACACAAATTAAACGATGTAAATTGGATGTCGTAAACCAAATCACAAATTAAACACGGAATTGATGAATCTAATTGATGAATCGAATCGATAGAAGAATAAGTGAAATTGAGAATACATAAAACAGTGTGTAACGATCGATCGATCAATAATATAATAAGAACAAATCTAAAGATGATACTGTATCTTAGTGAATAAATAAAGGCAATGAAAACGATTGATTGACCTTGCGAACGTAACCGTATTCACTCTCCTTCTCGGAGTCTTCGAAAGTGGTCATGCGACCTCCATGAACGGCAGGCATTTTCGGATCGGAGATGAAATTCAAGATCTGAGAAGGATCAAAACCCAGGGGTTCCGATCAACACGAGATCCACTGATGGATGAGGATAGAGGAAGATAGAGAGTGAGAGAGAGAGAAAGCTCTTTGAGAATTGAGAGTGTGGATTTGCAACTTCTTCTTTCTTATGCTGTTGTTAGGATTGAATAGGATACGTGAGAGTGAGTTTGTATTGTCGTGGTGGTGCTGTTTTTTTTATTTCACAACAAAAAAAAAGGATCCGGTGCGGACACGTGTATCATGTATTGGCAAAATAGAGGAGTGGATTGGAGGACGCTCTTTCCTCTTTCCTTTTCACTTTCTAACCGTGTGCGACTTTATTTACTTATTTTTATTTTCTAGATGAAAATAAAAATTAAATTAAATAATATCAGCCAAGCACTTTTTTTTATTCAAGTATCAGCCAAGCACTGCTCCTATATTTCCCACGTCGCTATATAGAGACTTCGCTATTATTAAATCATAGTGTTGTTTTTTATTATTGAAAGAAAATATTTAATTTTTACATAGAGAGTCAATGTAAAAAAAACTACACTAATAAATCATAGCTGTGAAATCTTTAAAATATAATGAAACATGTACTAATAAAAAAATATAATGAAAGATGCAATAATAATGTAAAAATAATTTTACATTATTGTTCAATAAAAAATTAATAATTTATTATTTTATTAAAATCATATTAAAATTTAAACAATATATTATATTTTTCTTTGACTTTTATAAAAACTATTAGAATTAATAATTTATTATATTATTAAAATTTAAACTTGATTTAGAAAAATATAGTATTTTTCTTCGACTTTTATGAAAACTACTTTAAAAATCACAAAATTATTATAATTTTTAATACTATAAAATATTTTAAATCGAATATATCAAAATGTATTTATTAAATAAATACATACCTTGAATTTGATTTGTATTCTTAGACTGTATAGGTCATAATATATTTAGATATTGATATAAATAATTTTTTTTCAATAAAATGATTTATTAAATGATTTTTTGTAAATTTCAATCCTTTTTAATTTTTTTTTTTGTAAATATTATTTTTTTTTTTGTATATATTTGTGTTTTAACATTTATTTAGTTTAAATAGGTTTTTCATATTGTTTTAAATAGAAATAGATTTTTATTGTTAGTTTTCTTGTAGTTATTTATTTATTTACTTATTAGCGTAGATTAAAGTTTTCTGAGTTATGTTATTAGAATTTTAATAGATTTTTAGAATAGGTTATTTAGAAATAGAATAGAATTTTATTTGTTTTTAAAATAGATTTTATTTTATTTCAATAGTTAAATAGAATTTAATATAGAATTTTATTATTTTGTTTTAGATAGAAAATAGAAGTTAGGTTTTAAATAAGTTTTATTTATTTATTTGTTTAGAACTATTTTTAATTATTAATTTAGATTAGTTATTAGAATCCATAGATATTATTTTTTAGTTTTATTATTTAGCTAGTTCTTTAGTTTTAAAATTAATTAGAATTTAGTTTTAGAATTAATTGGTAATTATTAGTATCATTAAATTAGGATTTTAGAACTAATTAGATTTGATTTAATTTAGAATTATTTTAGGATTTTAGATAGTAATTTTAGAGATATTTTAGGATTTTAGAATTAAGTTAGTAATTTTAGAGATATTTTAGGATTTTAGAATTAAGTTAGTAATTTTAGAGATATTTTAGGATTTTAGAATTAAGTTAGTAATTTTAGAGATATTTTAGAATTTTAGAATTAAGTTAGTAATTTTAGAATTGTTATTAGAAATTAGTTTAAAATTAATTAGAATTTTTAATGGAATAGAATTAATTTAGAATTTTAGATTTAGAATTAGAAATAGTTTTAGAATTATTTAATTTTAATTAAATTATTAGTAATTAATTATTTTTTTATTTATTCATTTAGATTAATTTAATAGAGTTTAAAATAGATTTAATTATATAGTTTAGAAATAAATATAATTTTTAGTGTTTTTTTATTATTAGGAGCTAAATAGATTGGGGTGAGATTGAAAAAAAGCAGAGAGAAGAGTGATACGAAGAAGATGATTTTATGAGTGATACGAAGAAGATGATTTTATTTTTTCACTTCAACTGGTTGACTGTTTTTATTTTTTATTTTTATCTTTTTATTTTCTTTATTTTTTGATGGATTATAGTTATTGGGATGTAAAGCCCATAGAAACTCTCACACCTCACGTTTCTCATTTTTAACTCTTTTTTTTATTTAAGAAAACTTGTAAATTATTTTTTATGTATTTAGTTTATTATTCTATTTTGTATTATAGATATATATTTAATTTTGTTTTAAAAAAGGTTTATAGTTTGTACATATTGTATTTATTTTGTTTTATAAATTTCTTTAAGAGTTTATATATTTTTTTCTTTTAGAATTTCTTAGAGTTTTATTTTAATTGTATAAACTTTTCTTTTTAGAATTTAAACATTTTATTTTTTTATCTTATAGTTGATTTTCACTTCTCATTTGTTATTGGACATTTTTGCCTTTGTGGTCGATGAAGAGATTTCTACCGTTTAGCCGTCAAATTATTGACGTGAAACAAAGGATTCGAGACCACCTCTTTTCTTTCTTATTTCTTATTCCGATTCGATTTTATTTTTGACTTGTGGTTTGATGAAGTCTTTTTATCCGCAAGCGTCAGATTTTCGAAGTCGATAACCTTCCCGATTTCAAATCTATGGGGGATGACCATTTGGGTCATCTTCCTTACTTTGGGATCGCGATAGGATACCTTCGATTAATCGACATTTTGTTTGTGGTTAAGACGAGATCCCATTCTTTTGTGTCCCGATTCGATACACTAACCAATATACAACTGCTTTAATTTCTGTCAATATACAACTGCTTTAATTTCTGTCAATATACAACTGCTTTAATTTCTGTCAATATACAACTGTTTTAATTTCTGTCAAATATTAACTGCTTTATTTTTCAGTCACTTATATTCTTGTACATATTACATTTTCTGTATATTAGTATCCTGTAAATATTCAACTAACTTGTACATTCTTTTAAAACACTTAATAAATATCAAACCATAAAATCCTAATTGGTGGACTGTTTATTTATCTGTATCCTGTATATATCTATCTCTATTTTTCATCTCTTTGCAGGTTCTTAAAAATATCTTCAATAAATGAATTGAGTTATATTCGTATTGAACTAAAAGAAGGGATTGAGTGTAGTCTTCTTCCCCTCCGAGTGTCGAGATGCTCACTGTATTGTGGGTGGTTTCGATACTCGTCTTTCAATACGAAGACGCTTTTCAAACCTCCTCCTAAAAACCTCGGCCCCGTACCGAGTACATTGTCAAACCATCTTGAAAATAAATTCCCTTTGTATTGAATTAAAGATAGAGAATTGAGTGCAGTCTTCTTCCTCTCCGAGTGTCGAGATACTCACTGTAGTGTGGGTGGTTTTGATACTCGTCTTTCAATACGAAGACGCTTCCATCCTTTTCTCCTAAAACCTCGGCTCCGTACCGAGTACATTTTCAAACCTCGGCCCCGTACCGAGTACCTTTTCAAACCTCGGCCCCGTACCGAGTACATTTTGAAACCTCGGCCCCGTACCGAGTACATTTTCAAACCTCGGTCCCGTACCGAGTGCAATTTTCTAAGAAATCAAATTCTTTTTGTATTGAATTAAAGAGAGAGGATTGATTATAGACTTCTTCCTCTCCGAGTATCAGGATATTCACTGTAGTGTGGGTGGTCTCGATACTCGTCTTTCAATACGAAGACGCGCCTTTATTCACCCCCTCTCACTTTCACAACTTCTTTCCACACCTTCCTCGCCTAAATCCTCGGTCCCATACCGAGTGCATTTTCAAATTATTTTTACAACAAAACTTGAATGGTCGTGGAGTGGTTAGGCGTAGGCCTTCTCCTATCCCGAGTGTTGATGTTTACCGTAGGGTTCTCTATCGAAAAAGCACTTACCATTCAAAACCAAAAACATCTTTAATAAGAGAACAAAGTTATCTTTGCATTGAATTAAAAAGAGAGGATTGAGTGTAGTCTTCTTCCTCTCCGAGTGTCAGGATACTCACTGTAGTGTGTGTGGTTTTGATATTCGTCTTTCAATACGAAGACGCTATGTTCGCCACACCTTTTTATAACAAAAACTTTGAGATAAAGAATTGGGTACTACCCGCAAGGGGTTACTATCCGAGGACCTATCTCGCCCCTAAAAACAATTCAACCAATCAAACGTGACTTCTTACCTCGCATGGCGAAAACCAGTCTTTCAAAAAGGATATGTTACGTCCGTTCTACTGCAAATAGGTAACGCATAAGTCTCCTTACATGCGAGCAGCAAAACACCTAAACTGCTAGAACGCGCATGATACCATCATCCACAAAAACACCAGTTACCTGTAGTACCACGAACTACGTTGCTTTGATTTCTCATGTATATTGAGAATACGTAGGCATAGGATTGCAACAATCCTAGCGAGAACCCTTTTCTCTTTTCCACCCATTCCCAGAAAGGCATGCTACGTCCGTTCTACCACAAACAGGTAACGCCTAAGTCTCCTCACATGCGAGCAGCAAAACACCTAAACTGCTAGAATGTGCACGATAGCATCGTCTACTAGAACTTCCCCGCAAACCGTAGGCCGAACTACGGCTGCTCTGATTCTTTACTTCGTTCAAGTAAATATACGTAGGCACAAGGGCCATAATCCTTGTCGAGCACATTCCCCCTATATCCGTAGCCCCGAACTATGTCGACTCTGACTTTCTCATATCTATTGAGAATACGTAGGCCTAGGACCGCGAAGTCCTATCGAGTCTGTTCTTTCCCTTTTCTTCCCCGTTCTCTCTTCCCTCCTAACCTCTCATTTTCCTGTTTCTAACCCTTTTCTCTTTACCCCTAGGAACACTACTTTTATAGTATAACTTTTTAAGCAAATATAATCACACATCGAC